GGTCTTGCTGGTACGCACTTTGAAATGGCATCCGGGAGTGAGAAAGAAGAATCAAAACTAATATATTATTTTATATATTTTTTAATATCTTTATTCACTGCTTGACTATAATATTTAATATGCCGTTATTGTAAATAGAAACAGATTTAGAATAATGAGTAGATCGCCCTGAGTAAATCGTCCCGCCTCCTCACATTAATGGGCTTAGGCTGATCAGCAGAGATTTTCCGGGTAGGCCCTAACTCTTAATTATCACCTGAGACAATGCTTGCGTAGAAACCCTGTATTACGTGCGTGCAGTATTTTCTCCGCTGTCTGTTGCATTCGGTAAGAAAATGCATAAGAGACCACAGGAGCGTGTATGTCTAATCCAATAGATTTCGTATAGAGTTGTCGTACAAATTGTGTGTAGGTGTGACGCTTTCAGTGCCGTAGAACATTCCTATCGCGGGACGATGCTGACGTGGGAGCTGCAGAACCGAGGATGTGCGGTCGATCAACCGTTACCCTTTGTAAGACTTTTGAAATGGGTAGGTTCCACGATTTTCGCAGACTTCTTTAAGCATATTCTAAACTTCAGCGAGTCCAGTAGGTAGAGGGTACGGCAATCGGACAGAGGCCATGAAGGCCGTCAGACAAAAAAGTAGCGAAGTAAGTTTAGGCCAATTAGCTGACAACTAGCAGGCAGCAGGCGAGGAGGTCAGACAGCGTATGTAGACAGGGGCAGGCAGAGGGAGGCAAGCAGGCAGATATGTAGGCAGTGCAGGCAGGCAGGCAGCGCAGGAAGGGCGCAGGCAGTAGACCGACCGTCGACCGGACCGACGCGAGCAACGACCGACCGACCTGCGAACCTAACGGACTGACCGACTAACCGCCCGATCCATCGATAAATAGTTAAAGAGTGAGGCGAAAGAGCGCACTAGCGTGATTAAGGACAGACCACGCAGATTGTGGCCCGAGTAACGTGTATAGGATATATAGCTAATAATAGCAGTCATATCCCACGGAGGGCAGGCGCAGTTACGTGTGGCCAGCATGGCCGCTGCCGGTCTCCATCTCTAGCTGCAAAGAGATGAAGCCATCTTCGCCTGCCAGCACGAACATTGGCTCGACGATAAAACTACGGCGAGGATCCAGGTGCATGCAGCGCGGGTCTTTATCCGTAGTTCTTGCTGCCGCTGTGCTGTTGTTTGCGGCGCCTACTGCCTGCTGTGTGTGCTTGCGTGCTGCTGCCGCTGTTGTTGTGTTGCTGCCTCTGTTGTTGGCTGCTGCGTGTAGCCTGCTGCTGTTGTTGCGCTGCTGCTGCTGCCTTCTAACTGGGCGGCTGCGACTGCTGCGCTGCACACTACACGTACAACTACTAGCTGACTGACTACTACTACTATACACTACTATACTACACTACTACTACAGCTACTACGCTGCTGTCTGTTGCTGTTCTGGCCGCTTGCTGCTACTGAACTGGATGTTGGTGCTGCTGCTACTGCTGCTGCTGCTGCTGCCTGCACACCGGCAGCTAAAGGTCGCATAGCATGCATCGTGTTACAGACAGCATCACATCAAAACGGGAAAGTATCTGCATCTTCCATTTATCACGATGCGCCTTCTCATTAACTCTTGGCAGTTTTTTGCGCGTTTTCTATTCAGTGGTGTAAACCTACTACTAGAGTGCTAATGATTCGCCGATGACGTCGTCGATACTCGCAAAAATGCGTTAGTGGATTAGTGAGTGGGTACGCGCATAATACTCATAATCCATATTCGAATCAATGATTCTGCACACGTAATTTGCTTCACGCGCTGGCGTGTTCATCACGAACGATATACAGCCGTAACGATGCTGCCCAAGCACGAATTTACGCCGTGACCTGATAGTGAAACTCAACCTATCCTCATCATGTAAAGCAATCACACGAACTAATTCCCGATAAGCGATCGCATATTTATCTATAATTGTTTACCACATCAATAATCAACCACGGCAAAATCTAGGATTCGAGTCTAAATCTTATTCGATTCGAATCAAGAAGCGTTCGTTGTTCAAAAACTACACACAAATTGCTCAGGAGAGATAACGTTGTATTGACGCGAAGTCACAGCGAACGACTTTGCAGCTGGAACACGCTATAATACACAGTATTGATAAGCGTCAGTGATATCGCTTTTCGATTCAGACGTAGAGAAAGCAAGTGGACAACGGCGATTTCTGTACATCCCTCGTGCAGGAGCAGCACGTGGTAGAGACAAACGTGTGGGCAATCACTACATTTAGTTCCAGTGTTTTAACGCTTGCAGAATTCCCGCGAGGAAGCTCGCTCGTATAGATCTATCAGCCTGAGTGCAAAGTAAATTATCCTGATTCGCCACGAGTACGACGCCTGCTAGAATAGTAGGGCGACGAAACAAACAGACTAACAGACAGTGTTTCGGGGATGGGGGATGGGGGAAGTAAATTCGCTGCTACCGTTCTAGTACCTCTACCTCAAACGTTTCTCTCTGTGTGCTACGCCTCCTCCATTTTTTATCTCTTTGCCGTTCTGTCGATTGCTATGCGCGCCACGTTTCCTTTCAGTGTCTACTGACTCTACCCCGTCCACGTTTTCTCTCTCGTCTAATGCTCTACCTACAGCCAAACGTTTTCTGCTCATTCGTCTACGTCTCACCCGCCAACGTTTCCTTACTCTCTCGTCTATGCTCTAACCGCCACGCTTTATCTTCGTTCGTCGGCGATGTATAAAACCGCCTCACGTTTTCTCTCTTTCAGTCTATCTCTAAACCGCCACCTTTCTCTCTCGTCTGCGATCTAACCCGCCACGTTTATCCCTCTCTCTCTACACTCTACCCTCCAAAGCATGTTTCTTTCATCGTCTAACCCCTAAAACCGCCCCCACGGTTTTCTCTCTTCGCTCATGACCTACCGCCGACGTCTCTATTCCTAACCCTCTTACAAACCGACGTTTTTCTCTCTTCTACTAACTCTCTAACTCCATGTTCTTCTTTTTCGTCATAACCGCTCTAACGCCGCCCGAAACCGACGTTCTCATCTTCGTCTACTCTCTACCGGCGCACGTTTGTTCGTCTCTTCGTCTACTTTCATCTACCGTCCACGTTTATCTCATCTGTGCGTCTACTCTCTACCCGCCACGTTTTCATATTCTGTGTATCTAACCTACAAAAAAACCGACGTTTCTCTTCTTCGTCTGGCGTATATACGCACACGACTTTTCTTCTCTCATCGTCTACCCTAACAACCACCGTAAACAAATATCATTCCCACCCTCTACAACCACGTTTTCTGTCTATTCGCTACTTCAGTCCTACAGACCACGTTTTCTCTGCTTCAGTCTGCCATATAGCGTTCTCAGCCCGACGCTGCTATCAGACACGAGCACTCCCGACACGCACACAGTCGCAAGCGTGCCTTGCACTGCACCAACTTCGCTGCTTTCCTCGAGTAGCAGATTCCGCAGTTACGGATAGGCTCTGGCGCCGCCGGCGGCCTTCACGAAACCCGCCGCACAAAGGTTGCGCAAGCAGATTACTATGCAACAAACAACTTGAACTTACGAACGGCACGCATTTTTAGCCCTGCTAGCGTATGCGGTATAAAGGAAAGGTGAGAAAGGCAGACGCATGAATAGAGTGGCTCGCCAGAAAATATGGAGGTAAGGCGAGATCAAAATATATATATAGAGAGAGAAAGGGAGAGAGAGCACACCAGAAGAGAGAAGAGACACAGCTCACAGAGGCAAGAGACAGAGAGAGAGAGGGGGAGGGCAGTGGCGCGAGAGAGAGAGCCAGTGTTGAGAGAGTAAGGAAAGACCAGTAGACGACAGAGATAGAGCGGGGAAGGGTGAAGAGAGAGAGTCACGAAAAGAGAATGCAGAGATGAACGAGAGAGTACGCAGAGAGAGATAGGCGAGCGCGAGAGAGAAAACAATGACCGAAGAAGGAAAAAGCTTGGAAGAGAAAACAAGATGAGCAAGAACAGAGAAGAAGAGTGAGGTAGATCGACAGCGCAGAGAACAGCCCACAGAATGAGAGGGAGAGAGCGAGAGCGCGCGAGAGCAGGCGCTAGAGAAAACAGAGGGGACGCACAGCGGCGCAAAGAGAGTGAAACAGCAAGAAGCGACGAACCCGAGAGCAGGGACACATAATTGATTTCACTGGGAGCGA